AGGAGCGCCACCAGCCGAAGGTGCGCCACCAGCTGAAGGAGCTCCATCTGTAGAAGGAGCGCCACCCGCAGAAGGAGCGCCACCAGCTGAAGGAGCGCCACCAGCTGAAGGGGCGCCACCAGCTGAAGTTGCGCCACCTGCAGAAGGAGCACCATCAGCTGAAGGAGCGCCACCAGCCGAAGGAGCGCCACCAACTGAAGGAGCTCCACCAGCTGAAGGAGCTCCACCAGCTGAAGGAGCGCCACCAACTGAAGGATCTCCACCAGCTGAAGGAGCGCCATGCGCCACCCGCTGAAGGAACGACCCCTGCGGAAGGGGCACCAGCTGCAGAAGAAACTCCGCTTGCTGATGGCGCTGCTCCTGCTGTAGTTGAAGGTCAGTTCTGTTGACACTCAGTATCTTTCAGAGTTTTCATCTCTTATAATGCTCTTATGCTTCAGTGTTCCTTTTGAACAATGAATTAACCCTTGTTTGATATTTAAACAACGCATTCTTCCAAGTACTGAGACTTTTCATACATTCTGTTGACAAACAAACGGTGGTGCATTGTCCCGACTTAAATTTACGGTGTATCCAGTGAAGGTCTAGATACTGTTCAGTGCAATAGTGATAAAAGCACATGTTTATAAAATTATTAAATCTTCCGACTTCATAAAAATTTCCATTAAACAGTGACTTCAGTTGGGAATGTTACTGATCTTCCTGGCATTACATTATCCTGATCTATTTCCATTTATAATAATTTTAAAATATAAGAAATATTTTGAATCAAATTTTAGCCATCAAATCAACGTACGCCGAAAATAATGCCTCGTATTTTTTTCTGTGTTATGGGAACAGATATTTCACTAAAATATAAACCGACACCTCTCCTTTGTACTTTTTCACAATTAGTTTTCAAAATAATCTCATCTGTGATCCACACATTCAGTCAACTTTCAGGAAGTTACATGAGTCTGTCTCGATAGAATTGTGCGTCTCGACGGAAGATCTTCACCGTCGCCTTGACGTCATTGTCTTACAAGAAATTACATTACAGGACGAACTCTTTGAATATGTCTTCCATTTTAGCAAAGCTTCCTCCATCTTCGCAGTCAGAAACTCAATTACTGAACCCTGTTTATTTTGTACTGACATCGTCCTAATACTCTATTACACCTTCACGACTGTACTTCAGAGACCACTATTAGCTTGGGAGAATCTAAATCTGTTCACACCGCTAAATGGGTTTGTTTCTTATTAAAAATGTAGGCATTATTTCTAAGCAGTAGCTTGTAAGTTTGTGCTCTAACCACGCGTCGCTGAGGACAGAAAACCTCTCGTTATTCTGTCAGGAAATTGACTTTTTTTCTTATACTTTCAGCTGCTGCCTAGACGTCGTCTCTCCGTGACCAAGCTGAAGACCTGTTGTAAGCAGATTCTTAAAGAAGCTGAAGCTCCTAGCCCAGAATGTTCTCCATGAGACCATTCGTGGAGCGTGAGAAATTGTTTATGCCAGCGTTTTACTAAATGCGAAAGACTATACCTGCCCTGATTTAGTCGGTGTTTCTGGTTAATCAGAATGCCTGCACCCTTTCATATCCACATAGTCTGAATCCTAATTCTAGTCAGACAGATACAATGAATCTTAAGTTAAGAGATTATAAACTTTGCGTATAGTAACGTATTAAACCTAAATGTACTGCGTAGAAACACATTGAACCGTGTAGAATTTAAAGGGCAGGGGATATTGGGCTATTCTAAGTTAACTCCTCAATTAATTTATCACATTTAAGACACTACATGACATCACGTATCAGAATAAAAAAACAGCTGTATTATTTTACATTTCCAGAGACAGTCGAGATTGTATTCGGTAATCGTAAATATCCGTGTAGTTTATAGGAACACAGAACAATCCAAATACACTCTCCAAACAGAAGACACGCGTAATTTTAGAAACAGCCACTGAATCAAGCTAATCACCAAATTAAAATAGTGTTGATCAAATTGAAACCAGTAAAAGGTTAAAATAAATGTTTTAAAATCCATAACTAGTCACTAAGATGGTACATATTAAGGGTCGATATCGAATTAAGAAACTATGAAATGTAAGTGTGAATCCGTTTCATTTTCATCGTCTGTAGAAGTTTAGGGGAACTATACTCTTATGAGCAAATATTAGTATTTTTTATACGTGAGAATCTTTGCGTGTTAAAACTGTGATGAACTGTTTTATTATGAGGCTATGCGCGTTTCCGACTATGGTAATGAATGGCGCTATCTGTATGTAACAAATAGTCATGGACTAAGCAACACGCTACTGACACTAACAAATGCAAATGGGTCAATGACGTACTTCCGATCTGTAACGTTTTTTCAATCAGTAAGAGTGACTGATCCTATTGTAATTGATTGACTTTATAATAAAAATTTGAACAAATGCTGTTGATTTACATATTTTCAGGTACTGTATATAGATTATCTGGAACGTCAGAAATAATTTGATATACTTGTCTATAATTTACGAATAAATCGTACCTTCTACATTGCCTTTGAATAGATTTTAAAATGCATTCTCTCAGAACTTCGCTCTTCTGTTGACATTGTCACCAACAGGAAATTATTTCCGAATACTATTCTTGTGGTAATATTTCACTGTCCATGCGTCACGCCATCTTGTTGTGTCTAGTCCTTTTTTTTCGAAAAATTTGTCGAGAGTAGAATTTCTGCAACGGATTACACAAAGAAAATCCAAATACGGTTTTCTGGGTTGTTGCGCCGTGTAATCTTGTAGAAGTTTACAGACGTTTCAGAGGTCCTTGCTGTCTCCATCGTCAGGCTGTGAAACGTCGGTAAACTTCTACAAGCCGTCACGGCGCAACAACCCAGAAGACATCCAGACATCTTCAAACTCACAGACCGTGAAAGTCTCAAATCCTACAGGAAAAATTCGACTAAATCAATGCTTTCGTTGTGTTCTCTTCCAAACACGGCCTTAGAAGTGGCGTATTTCCGGGCCGCATGTGACCCTTTCAAACTTCCTAGGCCTTGAAGGGGTTTAATCCCGTGGATTACAAAAACCCTCAGGGGTGGTTCAGATCCTCCTGAGGCCTGGATGATCTGACCTGAGATGGTAGACACCCGGGGGTGTCCAAAACAGCGAAAGCCATGCTAAGGGGACAATGTCACTGATGGCAAAGCAGTGGAGGTCCAACCCATCATCCGTGAGGGCGCAAAATAGATTTCCGAGGATAAGGCACGGGGGGGGGGGG